AAGATATAATATTTAATATTTTTAAACAATTTTTATTCATTATTTTTATTCTTTAGTACAATATGCCTCCTTTTCCCTTGACATCCAACCAACTTTAAACAGGTGTTTTAAAATGTGTAAAATGTTTTGTTTTTTAATTTTTTAGCTTAGATGTAATAAATGATTTTATTTAGTAGGTTAATGATTAGCATTTTGTTTTATTTAGTAAAAATCCATTTTTCAGATAATTTTAACCACTGATAAAAACAATTTTAGTTTTTGGGATAAAGTATGTATGCATTTTTAATATAATGTTTTGTGTAAATATATGTGTATGTATGTATGTATATATATATTTATTTATATATATATATATATGTATATATATACATATATATATATATATATATGAATATATATATATATATACATATATATATATATATATATATATATATATATATATATATATATATATATATATATATATATATATACATATATATATATATATATGTATATATATATATATATATATATATATATATGAATATATATGTATATATATATATATATACATATATATATATATATATACATATATATATATATATATATATATATATATATATATATATATATATATATATATATATATATATATATATATATACATATATATATATATATACATATATATATATATATATATATATGTATATATATATATATATATATATATATATATTTATATATATATATATATATATATATATATATATATATATATATATATATATACTTATATATATATATATATATATATATATATATATATATATATATATATATATATATATATATATATATATATATACATATATGTTTTGTGTGTGTATATATATACACACAAAGCATAATACCTTTAAACAGTAAAAATACTTTAACCCTAAAATTAAAATTGCTTTAAAATTATGTTAAAAATAGACTTTTACTAAGTAATATAAATTATATGTTATATAAATTAGTTTGTTAACATCAATAAATACAAGTTTTTGCAATTGCACTAAGTTTTTATTATTTTTAAGAAACTATTGCTAGATTTTTTATACTAGCATCTTCAGCTTTAGTTGCTCATAAACAGTAAAAAAACATTTTCATAGTTCACTTCAGAAAGTGATGCCACCACCCTCTATAAAATTTTAAAGTTAAGTTACTTCTCATTCGGTTATATTAACAAGGTTACATTCTCAAATTTTAAATAAAATATTAAGTAAGTAAACTTGATAATGCAGTAAATGTTTGTTTATCAGTGCCATATTGCTAAATACTTTCTTCTATTTTATTTTTATTGTAAAATAGCTTCCTCTCAATTGGTTACTTTGTCACGAAAAATAAATAAAGTCTCAATTTGCAACGTTATGTCTCAATTGTTTTTTTCTTAACTTTTTATAGTGTAACCAATTGAGACAAAAACAAACATAACTAGCTTGCTTATGTTTTTATATTTATTTTTTCAAGATTTTTCTGCTTGTATTATTATTATTATTATTATTATGTGTATATTTTAACAATAAAAATAAAAATATTAAGTTTACCAATTTATCTATGTTTTTTTCATATATTTTAAAAAATAAAAAAAGTTTGACGCTCATTAAATAAGTTAAAATCAAACAAAATGAATTAAAACCAAATTTTAAATTTGAGGTGTAACTAAAATACGTCTCAAGCATAGATTTTGTTAACATTACATTTCATCTCATTTGTTAACACTTAAAAAAAAAAAGGACATAATATAATGTAACAAAAATTATATTTCTGAGGTATTTTAATTGTGTTTCAATTCTTAAATGTTTTACATTAAGTTATGTCTTGATTGGTTATGCCTCATTAGGTCAAAATGATATGTGTTGTTATGTAATATGTTCTGTCTCAGTTACATAAAAATAACAAACATTTTGCACGTAACGTTAGGTTGCAGTGTTACTTATTGTTACGAAAATGTTTTGTATTGATTACATAAAAATAAATGACGTTTTGCATGTAACATAACGAATCTCGTTTACATTACAATACGTAGTATAACTTTAAAATGCTATCAGGGCACTTGTATGTTTTTAAATTTCTTTGAAATGTATGACTTTAGTATGAATTTCAGTTACATATTTTATTGAGTTTTACAGTAATATAATGAAAACTTAAACTCGGGCCATCTTTACCTTGATTATGCAACTGATAAACTGTCAAAAAATTGTTTGCTTTTTAAAGTGTGCAAGTTTTGTAATGATTTTAAAATACACAATGTTCAGCATAGCACATCATAGTTATGCATAATTAACATTATTAAGTGAAAAATATTCATAAAACTGTGACACTATAAAAATATATAAATTTTTTGACAAGAAATTAAATCTACACTACGGTTCCTAATTATTCGAATGACATTAACATTTTTTTTTAATGCTATTTTTTATTTAACTATTTTTTATGTTGTTTTTTTTTATGTTTTTTTTTTTTTTTTTTTGCACTATTAGATAATTTAAAAGTATTTTGGTTAAAATGCTTTAGTAAAGATCAT